AGCCACCATGGGCCGCGGCCATCGCCAGCGGCTTGATCCGCCAGAAGCTGCAGGCCAGGGAGCAGCACTGGGACCGGCCCTCGGCCAGCAGGAGGCGGAGCAGCCCCAGCAAGAACCGGGGGCTCTGCAACGGCAACCTGGTGGATATTTTCTCCAAGGTCCGCATCTTCGGGCTCAAGAAGCGAAGGTTGCGGCGCCAAGGTGTGTTTGTGAGTCCGCCCCTTGTCTCTGTCTGTCTGCCCTTCCCCCAGGAGCCGGGAGTGGGGACAACCTGTAGCGAGCCACCGCCAGGCCAGCAGCCGGGCAAGTTACACGCGGCAAACTCGCCCTGAGCTCCGGGCACTGATGTTCCCTCGCTAACTACGGGGTACGCTGCCCGATGGGGCTGGGTAGAAAATACACACGGATCGGTACACATTAGCTCGAGGGGCTCGCAGAGCCAACAGATCGTAAAAGCGGTGGCACAGTGTTATCTGTACATGCTGTTGGTCGGGGAAGTTACTTACTCACAGAATACACCTCCTCAATAATGTAATGCACTATGTCATATCTACCACTTTCCCTGGGTGTTAGCTTTAGTAAACAGAGTCCAGTGGTATCCCTCAAAGGGGCTTTAGGTGTGGTGTCCTCTTCCCTGCACTAGTTGCCTCATCCTGTAATGCAAAGTCTTTTGTATTTCGCTCCCATTCACAAAGCGCTTTACAGGCAGCACTGAGAAAGACGAGCAGCAGTTCAGATGTATGTTAATGCCCTGTATTATCCAGGATGTAATTTATATAGAAAGCAAGGTTTCCTCAAATGCTAGTCTAGTCAGAAGAATAAAGCAACGCCTACAATTGATAGATCCCCTGTTTAAAAAAAACATGAGCGCCTTAGAGATTTAGTTTTTAAAAGGCAATCGTTTAATTGAGGAGAGGATAGAATTAAGTGCATTACGTGATATTGATAACGAATGGCTACATTATAAGGGCTCTAATACCCACAACCTATTAATGTTTTTTTAAAGGACGAATAGTACATGTTCAGCTTCTACATGTTCGGTGTCTGACAAAGCAACCTCAGCGAACTATCGCGGATCATTCGTTTCTTTATGCTGTGTGCTCATTTTACATACACTACAAGCGTTCTGTTCTAGACTCCAATTCTTAACAGTAAAGAATCATAATTTTAATGTCTGTAATATGAAAGTAGGAAGTGCATCATGCACTTGTTTAAGGTCCATGAGGGATATTATCACGTACTGTGTATACTCGTGTGTGTGTGTGTGTAATATACACATACACACACATATATCAATAAAAGTTAGGGCCCATATTATAATGGATAAAATTTGTGGATTATTATAATTTTTTCCTGTAGGTTTCAGAATAGTCAATAAACAGAGGTCTTCAGAATTACACTACTAGCATGATTGTTATTTCCCCCAATGCTTTGTATTAAAATCTTGTACACAAAAGGATAAACCCATATACAAAACATGAATATTTACCATGTTTCTTAATTTTATTGCCCAATTAAAGAGTTATTATACCCTTTAAAATGCAGGGATATTTGATAAAGGAGGCAGATTTTAAATAAACATATTCAAAAGCAAGGAGAATATCAGTCAGTGCTGTAGTAAAAGAATTTCTGAATAGATTAGAGAATGCTTCTTCTGTCCTGTGCTTTTAGTCTATATAGTGTGTGTGGGGGGGGGGGGGAAATATTCTCCCTTTTTAATTTGGTCTAGAGTTAGGGTTGTTGGTAAACTATTTTTTTTTACAGTTGTTGAATAACTAACAGAAGAATTGACCTGGTCTGGTCCATCTTTCCTTCTCTTTCTATACATCATATTTGAAATAGCATCTTTTGATGGGATCTAACACATTTTACATTGTATGGATTTATTATTCATAGAATAATTTTCTGTACTTCAGTTTTCTGAAATACAGTGAATAGGAGCAATATAAATACATTAACCTCAGATTTCTTGTATTCTTGTGGAATACAAGCCAAATGTTGCCATTATTTGTGATACATACAACTTGTCTGTCCTCTTAGTTCTGAAAACTGATATCTGAAATATATGCTTTAAAAGTTAACAGAGAGGCAGCATACAGTTATTGTACACTTGTTTTTTGAACATGCAGTGTGTGTTTATATTAACAAAATCTATGTAGGCTTAATTTTTAGATTAGGCAATTTCTTAAATTTAGATTTATGAATGACTGTTACCAGATAGATTGTCTGCTTTATAATAATTGATTATTAATTTATCATCAATAGTTGGTTAATGGAAACAAGTTTGCTAGGGCTTCCTTTAACACATTCTCTTACTAAGAAAGCATTTTTGGCCAGCTCTGCATTTCAAACTCTGGAAAAACTCTTATTGAATTCGGTGAGACTTGAAGATGATAAACACTTCACAGCATTAGATGCCAAGCATTTCCACAGTTAGGAGATGCCTCAAGCAAAATTCTGTATTCCGTATCATGGATTTTTCATAGTGTATTTAGTAATGCTCCTGAAACTGGTCACAATTAAACTAAAATTGGAGTATAGCCTAAACTCTCTTGTGTTAGCACTATGGTTTTCAATGGGAGTATTTGTTAGCAAAAGCAAGAGCACGACCTTTGTTTATATCAATGTTAAGAGGATTTTAAAGACTTATTTATCCAGCCATGCATGTTAACATCCCAAATTAATTATTCATCCATAAAACTTTATATTGGAAAAAAAATTGTCTGTGGGTAATGTGGTGGTGGTGATGCATAAGGTGCCTGATAGACCTGTGGATTCAATGTTACATTCAAGAAATAGATAAAGCAGGGAGAGATGAAGGATGGAAAGTGGAGGGCAAATTTAATCACTTATGTATTTTATGGCATAGAAAAATTAAAATGATATCTAATTGTGAAACAAATAGGTAGTTCATTCCTTTCATTTATTAAATGATCATTATATGAATGAGAAAATCAAGAGTACCATTAATATTTGATTCATTAGAATATATGGCCATCGGTCATCAGATTGTTCATTGAAACTTATGGTTGAGACTAGGAAATAAGAGGCTTTGCTAAGCAAAATGTGATGAATTTCTAAACATCTGTTGTCAGATGTGTACCATGGGAATTTTACAAATAAATCTTATCTAAATGATGTACAAAGTGTCATGGGAATAAAGAGTGAAAAATGAACCAGTAGAGATGTGACAAACAGACTCCTTGGATTGTTCCTGTTTGATAATATAAGAGTGAAAGTGTGCATCAATTGTTCATTATTTATGATAGTAAAACCTAAGGTACATCACTCATTCCAAACAAAATATAACTCTGACTCTCAGAAAGAGCTTATATATGGAAAACAAAAGTCCATCCATCTTTGAAATTATAGCCAGCAAACATTATTAAAAGTCAGCCGAGAGGGATGCTGCTTTTTTCCTCAAATGCCTGTTGATACTGTGTCTTGATTGGCTAGTACTGATCTGTGACCAAATTATGTAAAGCCTAGATACTGTATTGGTGCTCCTCTAAAGTTACATTTAATTTTCTGTCCAGGGTTATCTCTTCATGGACATGCTGTAGTAGTATATACTATAAAGATACAGAAAAGAAAATAGTGAATTCTTATTTACATTTACTGGTATACAGTCCATAATAACAGCTGTAACTGTGGTTTTGTTTCAAATACCTTTTTCCAATAATTTTGATTAATGTGTCTTAACTCTTTACTTTAAATTGATTTCTGTGGGAGAATTGCCTAATAAGCTCTTGAGTGGACAAACTACAATACTGTACCATCCAACTTTGATTCATGATGTTTAGTTTTAATATTATAATATTTTTAATGTATTCTAACTGCCTCCTGATGGAGAAATCACTTGCATTAATTTCCTGATATGCTTGAAGCCAAAATCCATGCCATGACATTGATGCCAAATGTATATCAATAATAACTCACCCTTTTTCATTTTGGAAGAGAGAACAAGGTAGTTTAATTCTGTTTATTTTCCAATACAACAGTTATACAGAGGACTGACAGATAAGAATTCTGAAGGCTTCATGTGGCATGAAACTTGACTGTTACCAGAGACTATGAAATGAAAAACAGAAAATACATTCCTGTGCCTTAGCTCATGCAATTACATTACATATGAAGTGTATGATTTCATACCATCCACTTGTCCGTCTTTCATCCTTAGAGTCTGGTTAACCTATAAATCTATATTCTTTGCTGCTCCCCAAAGTTACAATCTGGTTAATTAGATCTCTTCAGATTATTCTACTGTGTAGTATTCATCATTTCAAATGTATATAAATACATGTGTTATATGTATTATGTGTGTGTGTGTATATATATATATTGCAATGAGAGAGTGAGACAGAGACTATGTTCAGAGAATATGTTGATTTCAATTATTAAGATATAACTGTTAAGCTTCTAGGTTTATTTTTTTCTGAATGAACTATAGCAG